AGTCGGTGAGTCAGTCTGATATCTGTAAAACCATAACTTCAAATAAATTCCAACCTCCATGAGTTTGCCAGACTCTTAGCTCAAATCTCCTCGGAAGGGCTGTGGTGCTGAGCGTAAAAGAGTCTGGCAAAGGGCGGTTGGGTTTTGGAAAACTTTGGAAGAAATTAAAAAAAAATTCGGCATGACCCCTCTCCTTTTTGAGCTTTTCGGGATCAAACTTACCTTATCCAGCTGCTACTTCTACTCCTGCTTCATCTGGACCAACCTGTAAGCTGTGTCTTCATTTCCCTTCATTTCTTTTGTGTTTTCATTGTTTTCATTGTGTTCATCATCCCTCAAGTCCTATATCTCCACCTCGATATTCAACACCTCTCCCTAACCTCCCCCCTAACAGTTCCCAAAGAAATTCTTCTCATAATCGACAGAATCTTAAGCGCATATCATATTCCAATAGAGCAAGAAGAATCAAATCGAAAGAGTATAAACATGAACAGATCAAGTTAGGATAAAACAACGGTGAGGTGAAAAAATAAATTTGAGTCCGCCACACAAACTCAAAATTTTTCAAAAAAACTTTTTTCAACTTTAACGAAACAAAGAGCGCATACTAGAAATGGATAGAGCAGGGGAAACTGAATCGAAAGAGTATAAACATGAACGAATGAAGTTAGGATCGAGAGTGAGTTTCACGAAAAAAAAATTTTGGGTCTGCGCTCTGAGTCAAAAATTTCAACAAAAAAAAATTGTTTAACATGAACCAACAAAGAAGCGCATGCTAGAAATGGATAGAGCAAGAAAAACTGAATCGAAAGAGTATACACATGAACAGGTAAAGTTAGGATCGAAAGTGAGTTTCACGAAAAATAAAAATTTCGATGCGCCCACAGAAATAAGACTTTGGGAACAAATGGGAGAAAGTAGAAGTACCAAGACACCGATCGATAACCAGTAAGTTGACGATAGTAGGAGTAACAGGGAGAAATCGATGGAAACGGAAGAAGGGTGAACTCAGACTACAACAACCAAGAACAATGAACGACGTCCGACACTCATTTCACAGAAAACTTATTTTAGAAAATTACGTAACGGCTTTCTCTCAAGACAGAAATGAATGGAAAAAGACCTGAGGATGAAAATAAAGAGAAAATCAGGGAAAACGGTCAAGATTCGACGGAGCTATGACCTCTTCCATCTTGGACCACTCGCGTTTGGATTCCTTATAAACGACCGCTCACTTCTGAAGCTACACTCACGGAATGAACGGCGCCGAGGAATTTTTTTTTCTTGAAAAAAAATGAAATCTGTCACGTTTCATTTAGAACTTTACACGCCGAAGAGAGCGGTTGTGCACGTGCTCTACGTGCTATTACGGCAAACGCCATAACTTTCTCTAAAATTGACCAAATTTGAAAATTTTTCTCTTGTTTGATCACTCATAATGAGCAATTAGTCCCGAAACGAAATTAAAAATTCGAAAACACGAAAATGGGTTTTGTAGGTTTTCCTTTTTGAACTTTTCGGGATGAAACTAACCTCGAAATCTTCAAAAATCGTTTGACACACTACCCTTACCT